GCCAAGAATGGAGTCTTAAAGGATTATTGGGAAATAAAGGAAATATAAAAGATATTTATAGATTAAGGAAAGCATTATTTATTTATCTTCAGAATACAAAATAAAAAAATAGAATTTAATAGATGTAAAACAATGTTGCTACACACTCATGAACAGTAGGTGGCGGTATGCCCGCCACTTCCCTAGAGCCCGGTGGGATCGAAAACATTTTGAATGGAAATCAGTGGGGAGAAATTAATAAACTTTTGGTCCCAGTCGCTCTCTGTCACTGATTCCAGATATGCTGGTTGTGTATTCAAATTGTTTTTTGTTTTTTTTAGTTCCTCTTTGGTCAAAATCTGGTCAAAACCCATCAATGAGATCGCACCAAACAGGAAGTGAAATGCACAAAGGATCCGGTAGATTTCCAAATAAAACACATCCGATCTTAACCCATGATCCTTTTTTTAAACTAGTTTAATTATTTTCTCCCGTATGCCACGACGTAATGCATTGATCTGAAAATCCACCTCAGACGCAACGCACGCAGTGGCGAGGGTTTGATCCGTCAGATGGAGTTAAATCACAAAGAATTCAATGTTGAATCGGGGTGGCAGCTAAATGCTAGGCTAAAGGTAGCAGCCAAAACGTTGCAGTTTCACATAATCCTGACGAGATCCGAAAAACGTTGCAAAAACTAGCAAGCGGGTGATTATGTATGTTCACTAAGTAAATATTATGTAAATAAACCCTACACTTCTCGCTATAAATGTAATCAAAACCCATTTAAATGCAGAAACTGATTGAAATTATTGGTTTTCCCACTAAAAGTTAGAGAAATCTCAGCCATGTTTATACCAAAATGTTACAGTTTCACATTATCTTGAAAAATCTTTGCAAGAAACGAACAAGCAAGTGAATATGTACATTCCCTGAGTAAATATTCTGGCAACAAACTATACATTTCTCACTAGAAATGTAATCAAAACTCATTTTAATGCAAAAACAAACTCAAGTTATTAATCTTTCCACAAAAAAATTAACGAATGTCGGCCATCTATATATATTTTTTTCTTCTCCCAGCTGGAATCTTGAAAGTCACGTGACTAGGACGTAAAACAATAGAAAGCGTATAGGCAGGAGAAACGTAACAGTACCACAAAAAATGGCCATTAATGTACCTCCACTACGTTGTGCAGTGTGGACCAACGTAGTGGGGGTACATTTTCCCATGAGACTGGGTTGCCAATGAGGATGCCATCTTCTCAGTGAGCATTCTCTTCACCTGAGCCTTTCACACCTACAGGGGAAGAACACCTTTGCGCGGATGCTGTTCCTGGTCTTCAGCTTTCAACACCATCATCCCACAGAAACTGAAAGGAAAACTGTAACATCTGGGCGTCAGCACACCCTTTTGAAACTGGCTGCTAGACTTCCTCACCATCCAGGTCAGACAGATCACCTCTGTTGTCATCACCCTAAGCACAGGCTCTCCTCAGGGCTGCGTCCTGAGCCCCCTGCTGTTAATTCTGATGACAAACATCTGCGACCCCAGGTTCAACACCAATCAGATAGTGAAATTTGCAAACAACACAAAGATTGAAGATGGTTGCCTCATCAAAGACGACAGAGAGGAGGTGGAGCAGCTGGTGGGCTGGTGTAGAGACAACAGCCTAACGCCTTGCTCACATTGGCTCCGGTGCGGTTACCGAGCCGACGGAGACCGCAACTCCCGCACACCCCCTCTCACACCGCCCTTTTGACTACGGTGCGGTGCGGCTCTGCGGCTCCGGCAACAGGTCCGGAGATTTAACAGAAGTTCACTTGAGTTCACGTAACTTCACGCGATAACACGGCCCAAATAAGGATATTTGCGAGAGCTTGTCGCGGAGGGCTCCGGCACGCCGCAAGGATAGCTTTCTTGCGGAATTTTATGCAGCGCCGGAGTGTCTCGATAACCGCAGCCGGACAGCTCAGCAGCCGGTGAGAGAGGTTTACGTCTTTTTAATGACTTGGAATCACTGCGGCGCCGCACCCACCGCACCGCAACGGTAAGACCGGAGTCGGTGTGAGCCTGGGGTAATCCTGAACGTGGGAAAGACAAAGGAGAACATTGCGACTTCAGGAAGAACCGGCCTAACCACACTCCACTGCTCATCAACAGCTTTGCTCTGTAGGTGGTCAGCAGTACCAAATTCCTGGGTGCGCACATCACAGACAACCTCCCCTGGTCTGTGTACACCACCTTACTGATCAAGAGGGCACAGAAGCGCTTGTACTTCCTGCGGAGGATGAGGAGAGCCCAACTGCCCCACACCGATCTTCACGACCTTCTCCAGAAGCACCATAGAGAGCGTTCTGACCAGCTGTCACACTGTGTGGTATGGAGGCTCCAGCGCCTCAGACTGGAAGAACGTGAGAAGTGTGGTGGCTTTGCAGAGTTAGCTGCAGGGCCAGCAGGTTCTGCAACAACTTTTTCCCCACTGTCTCACTGTTGAACTATAAACTTCACTCTGCATCACAGTTGCAACATTTGTTTTTGACTACCAACATGGCTCAAATATTATAATATTATAATAATATTATAATACTTTTAAATAGAACACAACTCAATGTTTCTAGTGCATTTAGCTTTCCATATTAATGCCCTTTTGCACCATTATTTTTAAACTGGTTCCATTTTTCTTCCACACTGTTTACATTCTGATCACTGCTGCAATTTATAATGGTAATGTCCATTTCACTGTTGTAAGCTGTATGCAACATAATTTTCTTTTGTATACACTGTGTATACAAAATTACAATAAAGTTAGTCTAACTCTAAGTAAATACCACAACTTGACTTGGTTAAAAATATGCAGATTTGCACATACAGCTAATCTGACAGCTAGGAATGCAGTTTCAACAAATCAGATTTCATGACTGCTGGAGAATATTAGGAAGGTGGTAATATTCTTAAATAGCAGCCAAACAGCCAGCCATGCCCTAAAATCCAAACAGGGGATGCTAATAAAATAATACATGATATCTGTCTATATGATCTGTCTGAGTTGATATGGAATAGCAGCCTGCAGTCTACTCTGATCTGATGGAGAAGGATGTGTAGAAATGTCTCAAGGATATTTTTGCTTTGACTAATGGTGAAGAAAACCTGTCAGAGAATCTTATTAAGATTCTCAAATCTCTTAAGAATATCACAACCCTTATAAGCACAGAAACATCCCTATTAGTGTCAATGATCATTCCACTGCACAAGATGCTACTAAAATCTATGACAACATGAGTAGAGGACAGCACCAAATATGAAGTCAAATTTGAGAACTTCCTCTGCTTCATATCTGCACACAACAGCCTTGAATCCAAGACTTGTCTACTTTGAAGATGCCCCTGTTCAGAAAATCTGCAATGATATCGCCAGGAAAATCATTGAAATTAAAGAGCAGGTATTGTTGTTTTTCATCTGAGACATGTTTATTACTATACCGGCCATGCTTGACCTCCCTCACCCCTCCCTTGTACTGTCTCTAGACCAATGATTGCAGTTTGGCTCGTTTTCTGACGACACCACTCAGGTTTGACTTTTTTATTGCATGAGGTTATAAAGTGGGAAGCATGGTGAGCAAAAGTAAACTAGCTCAGAAGATAAAAAAAAAACAACCAAACAAAAAAACAGGTATTACTCTTGACTTCAGAAAGAACAGATCAGGTGCAGCAGGCCATTGCATCAATAGTAGAGTTTGTGTTCACACTTTCTGGTCTCCCAGTGTCCTCACATCTACTGACCTCTACTGAAAAGATAATATGCACTGACTAATAATGCAAACCATGGATTCTCTTCACCAAACACTGTGTACAGCTTATCTATGGAAATCTCTCTCTCTCTCTCTCTCTCTCTCTCTCTCTCTCTCTCTCTCTCTCTCTCTTATGTTTACAAATTTTGTATCTAATTGTTTATATGTATATTGACAACACATGTATTATATTTAGAGATCTATCACATTATCTATATAACATTGATTTTGAGGAAATAACATTATTAATAACCCTCTATTATCTTACCATTTTTTCAATAAAAGTCAAGCTAAATTCAATACGTTTTTTATTGCTAAAATAGTTTTTTGTTAGAGTAGATCTTATAAAACAATACTGTAAAAAAATACAAAGCAGAAGACACTAACCATTTTTCTTAACTGTTCTCATACTTATGTTCTTGTTAAAGGTTCTTTCTTACTGCATGTTACACTAGACAGTTTTGCCTCCTTAAAAATTAAGTTTTTTCATAAATAGTTGGCTCCATGGTATAATTCTGAGCTTGAACCTAAAGAAAAAACTAGTAAAAGGGAGAATAAATGAAACTCTAAAAAGGTCCAAATCAATGTTTTAATCTTAATACAATAGAAGGTGTATTAAGATCTTATTTATTCTACTTTAAAAAAAAAATCAGAATGTTAAAAGTGAATGACATGCGAAATTCTTCTCTACTAAGTTCAAGATGACATGAACAACTTAATTCACAGTCCTCCTGGGGATATAGCAATAAAACTGATATAACCAATATTTTTATTATACAACTGGCTTTTGACAAAAAACTTTGACACTTTCTTTTCGAGGTTTCTTCCTGTTAATTCTAATTTCTTGTGAATTTGCGCTATATGAATAAACTGAATTCTGTAGAATTTTCAGTAGCAGGGTCCATGTACATACAATTTGTTCTTAGTTTATACTTGTGCCTCTGTGCATTGCTTTTGGATCAATGTAGCTGCTATATCACACTGACTCAATCCATAGAACGAGAGACAGGACAACATCTGGAAACTTTAAATGTGCTCCTCCTTACCCTGAAACACACTGCAATGCCTCAAATTCAATAACAAGGAGACATTTGCTGCGAATTGGTGCAGTATATAAAGATTAAATTTAAATGAAATAATATGCTGGTGTGTATTTAACCCTAACACAAAAGCACAACATACATTATTTTAGATTTTTGGAGACATGCACCTAAACCTTTTTTTCTATAGGCCTTGTGGAACCCATTTGCTTGCCTAACTATGGAGAGGAATTTACTGAGGGCACAATGTGCTGGATCTCTGGCTGGGGAGCCACAGAGGAAGATGGTGAGTCAGTGTTAATAATATTACATCTGCAATTACAAAACAAACCAGAAATTAAAAGCCCTCAAAAATCAGTTATGGAGCCATCCTTATACAATCCTGCATTAAAATTGTAAGACAAATTATGTATAAAGATTTTCATTTTATTCTTTAACTGGTGCTCCTAGGAGAGTCCAGTATTGTTCTACGCGCAGCCAGGATACCGCTTATCTCTACCAAGACCTGCAACCAGCCAGAAGTTTACAAGGGCCTTATCTCATCTTGGATGATTTGTGCAGGGTACTTGGAAGGAAGAATTGACTCCTGTCAGGTAATGTTTGCTTCCATTTATAGTAAGGACAACACTAGTCTCACACAAGGCTCACAACCAATATGTTTACTTTTCTTATGTACTTTATATTTAGCACTATTTGGTTATTTCTTTTGAAGCTACTTACAAGTGTTGTCATGTGTGTGAAGAATGCTGTAGTGCATTTTTTCCCCCTTAGATGACTGCAATCAAAATTATGCCCGCTGGTTTGCTGCTAAACCAGCAGGCTGTTTTTTTCTTCTTAATAAAAAACAGCTTAATGATAGAAAAAAACTTCAAGGATTTTGGGTTATTGGTTTGTTTGAAACACTTCCATTTGAGTTAACTAATAATTTCCATCAGCATCCAATAGCAAAAAGTAGCAAGCAAAGGCAGATATCTAAAGATTAAATTTAACATTTTCCAACTACTTGTAGAACACTTTAAGGACTGTATTAATCTGATGTGTGGCTAAGAAGGGAAATTAGATGGAACAGATTACAGACTGGTTCTGCAAGATACATCATCATGTTACAAACAGAATGAAGTAGCATACTTCCAAAGACCACAGTATTTGCCATCCTAAATGCAGTGATTAAAGACCACCAGGAACAGCAAGTCACTTTGACAGAGGGAGTCTGTTGTTTTCTGGATTTTGTACTTTATTTGAAAAAATTATATTTATGCGATATTTGTTATCCATATATTCTGGTTTAGTTTATTTCAAACATGACTGGAAAATAAAAGAGTAAAAAAAACAGAAGAATATATTAATGTATATTAATTCCTATCCCAAATGCTAAGAATGTAACACTGTTGTTCGCCAGCCTCTTTTTCCAATGATTTTGGCTCTTTCAAATTGAATCACAAGTTTTTGTTAACCCTAACCCTAACCCTCCTTTGTACAGTATATGCCCCACTACCACGTATTGTTTTTAGGACCATCAAAGGTTCCACATCCATTATCATGGTCAAGCCCCTGTGTCCTGAGATGGCCTGTCTGCCTAAAGTCTAGAAGGAAATTATGCAAAAGATGAAGTTAAAAAGATTATTTATATGTCATGCATTTATATGTCATATGTCCTCATCATCTTCATACACCACTGACAAGAGAGCCCAATAAGAGGGATTACATTGATCCGAGATACTCACTTGATTTTGTCTAAACTATCAAACTGATTTTGACCAGTCAGTTCTAAATTCGTTCAATTCGTTCAGTTCCACATGAGAACCTTCAAACTGCCTAAATACGCCTGCTCAGTCTGCTCCTCCAATGCATAGGAGCGGCGCGCTTAAATAACATCTTTCTTTACACCAAATCAATTAACCCTGCTTCACGCTGACTACGTTCCATGTCCGTTCTGTCCATTACAAAGTGTGCTGTGCAGCAATTCCCTGTAGATACATATACTATCTGTCACCTCTTATTTTGAAATGAAATGCCTTATTCTTCCATGTCTTCCTGTCTGGCTCATTTGGTTTTCAGAAAATGACACTGTCATTCATCACAAATTCTCTTTAAGCTTTTGTTAAAAATTGCAATTAGACTGAGAAGTACACTCATGTTTTAGCAACATATTCTTTCTATGAGACAACAGCAATTTTTATTAGTATTAGTATTAATGAGAATTATAGTGGAAGAAACAAGTAAGTCTTGGTTAGTGTTTTCATTTGTGCATTTCTACAGGGAGACAGTGGGGGTCCTCTTGCATGTGAAGACGCTACTGTGTGGAAGCTTGTTGGAGCAACTAGCTGGGGGATTGGCTGTGCAGAGAGGAACAAACCAGGAGTTTACACTCGTATTACGAAGTCACTCAGTTGGATCCGCATGCAGATGGAGGTGGGTACACAAGAAAATAAATTAGGTTTCAAGTCTAGCACCAGAGACAAATTATGTCTCTGCTACTAATCACAGAAAATTAAGTCCATGCAGATTCTAGGTCGACCAGTGGTGATTTCTCATTGAATACTAGGGAGGCTGAGCCTCCCCAGTAAATATTGTAAAATATTTGGTCACAAAAACAATGTGCATTGTTAAACTTCATAAATGCAGGCATTAAACTGCATTAAATGTGCACTAAAATGTGCTTGATTTCATGAGTATCTTGCGATGTTGTGATCTCCCCACCACACAGCAGCAGCAATACGCTGCCTATGTGAAATCCTGGTTAAGGCCTGCTTCCGTTTATAAAGGCCACCAGCGAGAAAAGTAGTGCCATGTTTGTATACCAATAATGGATAGCAAAATCACTTCCAGTGATTCCAAACATCCTTTTGTGTCTATGGTGCAGGGGCAGGCTGGCGGCAGGTTTTGAAGCTGGCTGCTTGATTTTGATTAGCAGACAATGCAAAAAAGATTTGAGTGACAGTGATCAGACAGAGGGGAGGTTTTCCTCATGAGACTCGATGAGAGAGAAAAGAGTGGTAATTTAGTCCGAACAGTTGTGTTGAACTCCTGCCTTTTGGAGTTTATCATTTCAGCACTTCATAACATCTATTTTCAAACATTGCAGTAATGTTTTATGTGTTTTAACATTTGTTTGTTCAATAGAGTAGATTTGGATTTAATTAACACCATTGAGCCTCTCCTGTATTGGAGACCAGCATAGATACTTAAATTAACTGCATCAACCAAAACAACAACATGCTTATATTGAAGGCAACTAGACATTTGCTTAAGTTTATTTTGAAAAAAGATATAGTTTGTCAAATCTGTAGGCTAACATATGGTCACAAAACAGTGGTAAAATTGTGATAGACATTTGTCATATTTATTTACCGTATTTTCACGACCATAAGGCGCACCGTACTAAAAGGCGCAGTCTCAGTTTTGTGTGCCATTTCTGTATTTAACACACACGTAAGGCGCACCGGTCTATAGGGCGGGGGTTTTATATACCGGTACATGTCCTCTACTACCTTTAAATAGCTCTACTGCGTATTTAAAAATAGAGCGGGAGCAAAACTGAGTATGATTGTGCTTTATTTGTGTATTTATTACAAAGTATTAATGAAACCTGGGAGCAGGCCGTGAGACAGACATATCGCAGATGACAGAGAGCTGTGATCACTCCTAAATTAACTTAAAATCCTGAAACCTGGTATCCTGGTGCCTGCAGTTTAAATTATTTAGATGAAAAACACCTGCCAGCCGCCGCGGTGAACCCGGAGGAGACCCGGCCCAGAGGCTGCTGTTGAAGGGATTTCTACTGTCGGCGCACCGCTGGTATGTGGGGGTCTGAGCGGAAATAGTATAGGCACGATGATAATCTGGATGAACTGACTGCAATTATGAAGTTTTCAGGTGGACTTTGTCACTTAAAAACATATTAAAACTACTTTATTCCCACTGATCACAGCAAATATAGCTGCAAGATTTAGATTATTTAGATGAAAAACACCTGCCAGCCGCCGCGGTGAACCCGGAGGAGACCCGGCCCAGAAGCTGCTGTTGAATTAAGTTTTCAGGTAGAAAAATAGAGCGGGAGCAAAACTGAGTATGTTTGTGCTTTATTCAAGTATTTATTACAAAGTATTAATCGAACCCATCAAAGTCATCATCCTCTGTTTCTGAATTAAACAGCTGCGCTAAATCAGACATGCCAATTTCCCCTTCTTCGCTGTCAGAGTCACTTTCCGTGCCGGGTGGCTCCTCAGAAATAATGCCTGCTTTTGCGAAAGCTCATACAACAGTGCCAGCAGACACGTTAGTCCAAGCATCAACAATCCATCCGCAAACTGTGGCGTTAATTGCCCGGCGCTGCCTTCCACTTTTCGTGAAACTGTGGTCTCCGTCGGTCATCCATCGCTCCCACGCCGCTCGCAGCCTTACTTTGAACGGCCGGTTCACACCGATGTCGAGCGGTGGAAGTTCCTTTGTCAGACCTCCCGGATAACAGCAAGAACAGCGTTTATTTGTTTCACCATGTTTTTCACATCGGCTGTGAGATGGGCACGCATGGAGTCACAGATTAACAGCTATGGTGATGCGTGGAAAAAAACCACCTGGTCTCCTCACATACACCTGCCTCAGCCACTCTTTCATCATCTCCTCATTCATCCAGCCCTTTTCATTTGCCTTAATATCATATGTCATCAGAGCGATGTGTCTGTCTCGCTGTCAGCTCCCAGATCAGCTTCTCTGATTGGTTGATGCGGCGCTTCCAGCAGCAAAACTTCAATTTTTCCATCTCGAGCTGCAGCAGCGCGTTGGTGGCGCGTCAGATAAACGCTCCCGACTCGCTGCGCCTGCTGCTCAAAATGCGCTGCGGGACCTTTTGCTGCGTCTATACGCGCGCCAACCATTGACTTTGCATGTAAACTCGCTGCTTCTGCTGCGCCTGCTGCGTCCGGTTCACACCGATGTTGAGCAGTTGAATAAAAGCAACCACAGTGTTAATTTGTTTCACCATGTTTTTCACATCAGCTGTGAGATGGGCACGCACGGAGTCACAGAACAACAGCAATAGTGATGAGTGGAAAAAAACCACCTGGTCTCCTTACATTCATCTCCCTCAGCCACTCTTTCATCATCTCCTCAATGAGGTGGTCTCAAAAGTCCGCAGTTACAACACACATAGGGTGCACCGCACCAAAGGGCGCACCGCACATTTTGAGGGGAAAAAAAGACGTTTATGTGCGCCTTATAGTCGTGAAAATAAGGTAACTTGTTATAGGTACATGTATACCATATATTTGTAACAGCTATATTTCATTCCAATTAAATTCAGTTTATTTATATAGAGCTAATTCACAACACATGTCATCACCAGATCATACAGTCAAATTGATTCAACATTTTCTATCTAAGGAAAACAAGTTGATTACATTGACTCACTGACTCGAAGGCAATCCCTCACACTAAGCATGCCTGTTGTGACAGTGGAGAGAAAAAAAAAACCTTTAAACAGGAAGAAACCTCCAGCAGAACCAGGCTCAGTGTGAACAGCCATCTGCCGAGGCCGACTGGGGTTCAAGTAGACAGAAGCAGAGATACAAAAAGCAACTGTAAAAGGCGGGCCCCATCCAGGAAACACACAGCCAGGCAGACAAGCTCTGAGCCAACTCCCATGACAGAAGAGGAAGAGAGCTCATCCAGCCAGTCACAGTCAGAGAAACAGGACAACACTGGAAAAACAGGCCAATCTCCAACATCTATAAACAAAGGTGTTGATGGCAGCAGCACAGCTGATATTTTTCTCCAGGATGGTGTCAAAGCCAAAGAGGAACAGACCCGGCAAAGCTACTATGAGAAAAAACAGAGAGAGTATACCATTAGAGATTGAACTAACAGATTCTGCAGAGTGGGAGAGTAGACATAGGATGAAGCAGAATGATGCAATAGGGGTCCCTATGTGAAGTCCTCCAGCAGTCTAAGCCTATAGCAGCATAACTATAGAGATAGCCTAGGATAACCTGAGCCACTCTAACTATAAGCTTTATCAAAAAGGAAAGTTTTAAGCCTACACTTAAAAGTAGACAGGGTGTCTGCCTCACAGACTAAAAGTGGTAGTTGGTTCCACAGGAGAGAAGCCTTATTACTAAAATATCTGCCTCCCATTCTACTTTTAGAAATTCCAGGAACCACTAGTAAACCAGCAGATTGAGAGCGAAGTGCTCTGTTAGGAACATAAGGAACAATCATATCTCTGATATAAAATGGAGCTTGGCCATTTAAGGCTCTACATGTGAGAAGAAGGATTTTAAATTATATTCTTGTTTTAACAGGAAGCCAATGAAGAGAAGCTAGGATAGGATCTGAGAGATGTGATCTCTCTTTGTAATTTTCACAAAACTCTGGCTGCAGCTTTTTTGGATCAGCTGAAGGCTTTTAACTACAAAGTTAGCACACAGCTTCAGTTGTTTCAGCTAGTAACCACTGATCAGGCCCGAAATCTAGGTGTAGTGCTGGATTCAGACTTGAACCTCCAAAAGCATTTAAAGACAATTACAAGGTCGGCTTTCTATCGCCTGAAGAACATTTCCAGGATTAAAGGACTGTCTCAGCATGATCTGGAAAAAACTAATCCATGTGTTTATTTTAAGTCAGATTGATTACTGCAACAGTGTTTTCACAGGTCTGTCTAAAAAGTGGATCAGACATCTGCAGCTGATCCAGAAGGCTGCTGCCCGTGTCCTGACTAAGATTAAGAAAGTAGAGCACATCACCCCAGTTCTAAAGTCCTTACACTGGCTCCCTGTATCTCAGAGAATAGACTTTAAAATACTTCTGTTAGTCTATAAATCTCTGAATGGCTTAGCATCTAAATACATCACAGACTTGCTATCAGTGTATCAACCCTCCAGACCACTCAGGTCGTCTGGCTCCAGCTTGCTCTGCATAGTTAGAACCAGAACTAAACATGGAGAAGCAGCATTTAGTTCCTATGCTCCACTTATCTGGAACAAACTTCCAGAAAAGTGTAAAAGTGTGGAAAGCCTGAGTTCCTTTAAATCAAGACTAAAAACACGATTGCCTTCGACTGTTCTAGTTAAACAGTTCAACTGAAACATCATTAGTTCAACTTTTTTATTTTCTTTAGTCCAACTGTTTTTAATGTTCTTTTTTGTTACTGCATTTTAAATTTTTTTTACCTACTTGCTTTGATTCAGTTTTTTTCCTATATTTTAATAATGTAAAGCACTTTGCATTGTCTTTGTACTGAATTGTGCTATACAAATAAATTTGCCTTGCCTTACAGTTTGTGGACTTCCTGAGAGTAAAGAATTACTATAGTCCAGCCTTGAAGTAACATGTGCATGGACGATTTCTCAGCATCATGCTGACTAATGCTGGTGTATCAGATAAACAAGTAATAAGAACTGGGCAGAGTTAAGCAGTCGTGTGAAATGAGTGATCAGACCAGGCATCAGAGCTGAGATCAAGACACTGACCCTAAACAGAGAGACAGAAGAAAATAGCCGGTAAATCATTAAGACAGATACAGTGAAAAAACAGGAAAAAGGAAGAGATGCTACGAGAGATCAAAAGAGAAAAGGAAACTTTTTAAAAACAGGGGAAATATGGGGTAGCAGAAGATTCAGAGGAGAAATAAAGACAGGGGCATAGGCAGACAGTGTGATTTTGAAGCAAGTATATGTAGCGAAAGGAATAAGGCCATTAATATTTTGTACAGTCTACACAAATCCTTTCACAACCTTAAATGCACCACAAAGCAACAAAGAAAAGCAGCACTAACAGAAAGGCAGTGAAATGCAGCACGTCCAATAACCCTCTATGAGCTGATGTGTGTGTGCAATCTGAGAGGACAGGAAAGAAAACCATAGTTTCAAGGCAAAAGACAAGTGTATAAGGTAAAGGTAGACATAAAAAACCTTAATTTTGATGTGTCTCATTAAGAGTGATAGAGAGCCGAGACCATCTCTATTGAGCCTGCAAAAGTACAATGACTTTGTTTACGTAAAGCTGCAGCTGATAAGTCTGCCGCAATCTGCCAAGCTTTATAACATGCAGGATTTTGTGCCAAAGAGATGCTCATAACTCCAGCACAAGCTGTATTAATGTCATTGTTGCATAGACTAATTCAGGACGGAGAGGTGAATAATGGTTTAGGGCTTTTATTTCTTAAATTTTTTTTTTTAAGAAACAAGACACTGAAAAAAGGAAACAGCAAAATCAAAAAAAAAAAAAAGCAAAAACTTTTGTGTGTGAACTATGATTAATAAATCAAAATGTTGAATAGATTCAGAAATCAATTTAGACCATATGAATGAGCAGTTAATAATAAACAAATAAGCCAACTTTGATATTTGTGTAAAAAAAAAATATGTGACCAAGGTATGGATAAAAACAGTTATTTTCAAAAGATTTCAGTCTTTCAAAAAGAAAGACTTAAAGACTAAAATGTCAGTGATGTAACAGGGGCAACTCCCGTCTAAAATGACACCACTCCGACAGTTAATTTAAGGAAGTGGCTCTTATTCAACTATCTGTTGTTAGTGGCTTACGGCCGTGAAAAGCTAGACACACCGGTTCTCAGCTGAAAGCTATGTTAGGTAGCAAGCAAATCCCTCTGGAGAAATCATGCTTGCTGGACCGAGTCAGACTACCTTTCCTACGATTCAGGAGCTGATTGTAGTGACTGAAGGAACAGCTGGGCCAAATTGATATTTGCCAAGGAGCCGCTAGAAACCGCTGACCTGTGCCACACTGGTCCTGCCACAACAGTTGTGCCGCCTGCCTGACCTGGCGCCTCTTTGAGCTAACTGCTGACGCTAAAGAGAGATGTCCCGTAAGGCTACTGAGATTTATAAATTAGGCCCTGCAAGTTGTCTCATTATTGCATCGAATTACTCGAAAGCTCTTGGAGAGCTGCTGTTGGACGAATGTACTGGACCGAAGAAGGGGTTTGAGCTGACCGAACCAGGCCAGAAAGTTTCTTCTACTCCTTAGAGCCAAAACAGTAACATCCACCCTTCCCTCTCTTCATTTGATGCATAATAAGAATAATACCTATGTGAACTTCTTAGATATGTGTGCATGTATTTGTGTTTTATCTGAAAAGTTTTCAGATCGTACTGCTGATAGTTTAAGAGTTTTGAATACTAATGTTCACCTAGCCGACTGAACAACAAAGTGGTACCATCTCAGACATCCCAAGTCTATCGGAAGTTCCGGAAGTCTACCTGATATCGATAGTTGTTCACGGATGCCCGCAAGTCGGATAAATTATCCCCGATTTTAGACTCTGCGAGGTGTTTTTTTTTATTGTGAGTGAGAGCGAGCAGGCAGTACAATAATTCGTGAATCACATGCTTATTAGAACTACTGCGATCGCGCAGACAACAAGAGAGTGCGGGGTGTGAGAAGGAGGTTGCTGGTGAAACCTGTGCACCGTATCTGTCCAAAGCGATGCTCTGTTCAACCAGCATTCCAGGCGACTGGTTGATCAGAGAGCTGATTGGATCAGTCTGATAAGTTTCTCTGGGTTACTCTCTGGCAGTCACTTAGTTACCACTCAAAGCTGTGCATCCTGTGAAACGGAAGAGGTTGAATCCTCGAGTAAAAAACTAAAATATAGGACTAATTTTACAGCAGAATAGACTAAAGTATATCCATGTCTAGTGAAGGGGAGGAACAGTGGCGGATCTAGACCAAATGTACCAGGGGGCCAGGAGGGGGGCGGCATGTTTTCATGGGGGAACAGAAAAACGTGAAATAAACAGGGCAAGGGATTCAAATATATTAAGAGAGCTGCATGAAGTGAAATTTCTTTTCAATTAGGTTCACTAAAGATTCTATTTCTTATGAGGTCAATATACATTTATAATTTAGGAATTTTACACATTTTGACTTAATTTGAGTTAAAACTACTGTCTTCTATAAAATTTTTATTAGAACTCAAGAAAAACTGTTATTACTGTTATGTATTTCATCTGTAAAAATTTTAGCATTTTTTCTTTATTTGTTGTGAAAATAAAAAATTATCATTTAGCAGCTGAAAACTGGGATCCTATCTCAATACCACTGAAGTTATCACCTTATTGTTTTTTTAATAATTAGTAAAACAGAACTTGTAAAGAAAAAGAATGAAGTAGATCCAAATGACCTATCAGTAACCATGTCTGTTCCAGAGCATATTATCAATAGAATTTCTTGTAAGTATTATGTAGGTATTATTATGTGTAAGTATATGGGGCCATAACAGGGGCCAGGACATGATCTATAGGGGCACCGACCCCCGTTGGCCCCTGTCAAGAACCGGCCATGGTGAGGAATGAGAACACCGTGGCGAGGTGCACTGTATGCTGAAGTCCCATGAAAAAAAGAAAGCAGAACTGATGTTCAAGATTGAAAGTTTTGAAAGTATTAAAAATAAGATCAATACTGTTCTGTTTTGTGTCTGTTGTCCCCAGGGGGTGGGGCGTTTTTTTTTTTTTATGGGGGGGTGGGGTTGTGACAGGGGTATAACCATCTCCCTGAAATGAGTTTCTGGAACTTGGGATGTCTACCATCTGTTTCTGGAGCGACTGCTACAGTTGACTGGCTAGTATTATTAGCTCCCAGCTAACTCCTGTCTGGCCAAATTGTAACACCCAAGTTTTGAGCCTAACATTCATTTGCGTCGGCTGGACCTGCCCAAGCCGGACATCCTGGGTCCAGCTAAGCTAACCCACTCTCTTTCAGCTTCATCACAGTTTAGTGCATTCCTGAGTCAATCATTTCCCCCAAATAACTGAGTGAAACTTCACTTTTGACTGCACTTTATCTTTGCTACAAGGTTTATTCACATTTATCTGCTGCTATTTTAAAGGATACCTTAAATGCATTAAGCCTTTAAACTTGTCCAACCTTTTATGTAAAATACTAAGAACCCTGGTAAGCAAATTAAAGTCATAGTCATTCAACTATGGTAATGATAAATAATTTTACCCTTGATTTGAATGACCTATCAATCAACTTTAATGTCAAGTTCTAGTTATTTTATATACTCATAATCTTCTGGTAAACTTCCAAAAGACTCAATCATTTATTCATGTATTTCATTTTGTATGATATTGTTTCTTCTCTATCAAATATCAATAGCCTACTACATTAAAAGTTAGTTGAATGTTAGTCATAACAAAACCTAGGTTACTTTTTGCAGTCTTGAAAATGTCTGAACTAATCTGAAATATAACCAAGGGCGGAATAATGAACTCTGTTTCTTCTTTGCAGGGAGAAGAGGTCTTGAGGTCTATTAACTCTGACAACAGAAAAATGAATATTAAGAATGATTGATATACAAATATCTGCTTCAAGCTGAACAAAGAAAGATCACCAGAAAGATATGGGAATCGTTTATTCCAAAATAGAAAGCTCTAAGGCAAAACAGACAAGAGTATGATGAACAAACCGAAATGACAGACCAGCTCTCTCAGACTTAGCCAAGTGTCCAACTAACAAGACTGATATAAACTAAATCACTGCAACTATTGTCCAATGCAATTTTTACCATGAATTTGAGAAGAGGCACCTGAATTGTGGAGTAATCTTAACTTGAATAAAACTTCTTGTTTACTGCAAAAGTGTGCGATGGGCGGCTCCCGTTAATGGGTACAAACACTGAAAGTCCAATGTCTATGTAATAGAAACAACAAAGAAATAAAAGCTCAATGAATAGAAAATGTCCAATGGTCCTTGTTGGTGCGATCCAGTGTGGATTGGATCGTGTCTATACATGTTTTAGTCTCGGACCGAGTGATTGTGATGTAAGCATAATGTTCTTGATTGTGCATTTGACAAAGTCATGCCAAGGTTACTACTGTGAAATGACATATGCATAGTATACATGTGGAGCGATTAAAAGAAAAAACATGAGCACAAGTCAAGTTATTATGCAAGATTACTTCTTCAGATAATTAGGCTGCAGCACACAAACTCTTCAATCTTTTTACAACTCTGTTCTGCAGTTTAGTGTTTTAAATCTATTTTCTCAATAGTAGAAATTGTTTGTGCTTCTTGGCAAGACATTTTCTAGAAAGGATCCCATAAGGCCATGTTACTCTTGAGTTTAAAACCAATTTGAATTGTAATTTTCATCAGCATTCAGTTTCTTTTCTTCATACATAACCCTAAAAAAAGGGCAGTTGTTTTTCTTTAGGAATTTTTACATAAATATTCCTTACAAAACAAAGAAATGGGAAAAAGAAAAACACTAGTTTTATGTTTGTTTAGAAAAATAAGCATATCTACGATTTTCCTTTCCCAACTCAACCAGGTGAGAGTTAGTGAGGAAGAATGCATACGTCTACTTGTAACACAAGCATGCAAAGAATGAATTCAAACCATTACATATACAATTTCTACATATTGGCATCCAAAAAACAAATCAGAATTCAGCTGGAGACAAAGACCAAATTAAACAAAAACCAAAACAAAACACTTAATGAAGTTTACAAACTTGTTTGTGTTTTTAACACACATTTTCTGTTTGATTTAATCTTTTCAGCTTAAATATACAAAAAAAAGTGCACTCGCCTACACAAATAAAATTGTTAAAAAAAACAGTTTCTGAAGTGAAACTCCTGATTACACACATGCAGCACAGATTGGAGGTCAGCTGGAAGAGCACAGGAATGTTCATGGACATACTGTGCTTTTGTGCTCGATGTAAACCCAATGTGTCTGCAAATACACATCCCTTTTGAGTATGTGTAGATCAGTGTGTAAGCATTTACTGCAATGAGTCGCTGTTGTCCAGGCCCAGCCCGGTCATATCAGCATCGTCATCATCTTCCCCACTATCACCCGACTCGTCTTCACTGTGGCCTGCTAACATAACCTGCTGCACTGCGAGTGTGGCTCCATCTGATGTAAGGCTCTGCAGACCCTCCATGTTCATAGTCACCATTGTACCTGAAAAGAAGCATGTAAAAGATTGGCCTTAACTACATCGTGAACAACCGCTTCGGCTCGCAACAAACCCCCTCATCTAACTTGCTGAAAACAAGTAGATGAGCTTTTGTTAAACAACATGGAAGATAGAGAAAATAATGTTGACAAAGGATGAATTTGGGAATGCTCTTAAGATATGCTTACAAGCATATCTGTCAAATGGGATGCAGCAGCTTAAAGAATCTCTTATCTTTATACGGGTCGTCATCAAATTAATCAAATCAAGAGTGTTGTGTGGTACCATTTTGATCTAATGCTTGTCTTAATTTCTGTTTTGTGTCATCCTGTTCCTCTCAGTTATCACTAAACTTAACTGAATTTAAATCCATTTCAAATTGACTCTTAGCTTACCATTCTTACTCTACTTATTGTTTTAAATAATTACAAAAATAATCCTAGTTCACAAGCATCCCTATTGACAAGCTCACTTAAAATGTTACATTAAGATATATGTTCTCATATGAACTGTATCTGAAGATATTTTCAATTTAAACAAAGTCCAGGGGCACAAGGGGGAGTATTGGCCTAGTGGTTATAGCAGTGCGCTTGTGCTCTGAGAAGGTTGCAAGTACCATGTTCAATACCCACATCCAGCACTCTGGGTTCCCGAGCAAAACCCTTAACCCCACACTGCTCCCCGGGCACCACACAATGGCAGCCCCAAAGGGGAATGCATTAAATGCAGATAGCTAATTTCCCTATTGTGGGAGAATAAAGGGATATACATTTAAAATGCCACACTACGTTGAAAAAGTCAGCTACAACAACCTCACAACATCCAGAAACTTGAGGTCTTTGCCTCTTAAACACAAAATTTATTTTTGAAACCTTCAAAGCCATTATCTTCAGCTTACACATTTTGCAGTAGAAAAAGAAAATCACTACTTTCTCACAATTTGATCCTTTTTTTAGCTGTTCTATTCTCATAATACATACCAATTTCATTTTTGCCTCGATATTTCAATCTCTACAGTTGGAATAAAAAGCAAAAAAAAAAAAAAAAGTATTTTACCTGTAGCTGAGTTAAAGCTACCTTTTTTTAAGAACTTCAAATACACTGCCTGGCCAAAAAAAAAGGTAATTCACTCTAATACTTTGTTGGACCGCCTTTAGCTTTGATTAAGGCACGCATTCGCTGTGGTATTGTTTCGATAAGCTTCTGCAATGTCAAAAGATTTATTTCCATCCAGTGTAATTTTTCACCAAGATCTTGCATTGATGATGGTAGAGTCTGACCGCTACGCAAAGCCCTCTCTAGCACATCCCAAAGATTCTCAATGGGGTTGAGGTCTGGGGTCTGTGGTGGCCAATCCATGTGTGAAAAGGACGTGTCATGCTCCCTGAACCAGTCTTTCACAATTTGAGCCTGATGAATCCTGGCATTGTCATCTTGGAATATGCCTGTGTCATTAGGGAAGAAAAAGTCCATTGATGGAATAACCTGGTCATTCAGTATATTCAGGTAGTCAGTTGACCGCATTCTCTGAGCACATACTGTTGCTGAACCTAGACCTGACCAACTGCAGCAACCCCAGATTATAACACCGCCCCCACAGGCTTGTACAGTAGGCACTAGGCATGGTGGGTACTTCACTTCACTTGCCTCTCTTCTTACCCTGATTCGCCCATCATTCTGGAACAGGGTAAATCTGGACTCATCAGACCATAGGACCTTCTTCCATTGCTCCACAGTCCAATCTTTATGCTCCCTAGCAAATTGAAGCCTTTTTTTTCGGTTAGCCTCACTGATTAGTGGTTTTCTTATGGCTACACAGCTGTTCAGTCCCAATCCCTTGAGTTCCCTTTACATTGTGCCCGTGGAAATGCTTACTTTCAGTATAGCCCTGAGTTCTACTGCTGTTTTTCTTCGATTTGATCTCACCACATGTTTAAGTGATCGCCGATCACAATCATTTAGGATTTTTTTCCAACCACATTTCTTCCTTGAAGATAATGGGTCCCCACTATCTTTCCAGTTTTTAATAATGCGTTGGACAGTTCTTAACCCAATTTTAGTAGTTTCTACAATCTCTTTAGATGTTTTCTCTGCTTGATGCATGCCAATGATTTGACCCTTCTCCAACAGACTAACATCTTGTCCACGACCACGGGATGTGTCTTTGGACATGGTTGTTTAGGAAATGAGAAGCAAGTCATTGCACCAGTTGGGGTTAAATAACTTATTGCCAGCTGAAAGATAATTGCCCATGCAGTAATTATCCAATAGGAGGCTTGTACCTATTTGCTTAGTTGAATCCAGGTGGCGACTTTTTTTTTGGCCAGGCATGTATATAATTGACAGGACCTTTCCCTAGAACCCGGATTTAAGCAGGAGGCTGCTGCTCTTACCATCAGGCATGGTAACTTGCTGATGAGTCCCCCCTCCAGCAGCAATGGAGTCAGGCCAGAAGCGCTGCAGCGGCCGGTTTTGGGGCGTTTTCTTCTTGGTTTTGGGGGTCTCAGAAGAACTAGCATCCAACATTGGCTGCAAGATCCGTCTCCGTGCATTTATGAACCTACAAACAGCCAAAGTTTTGGGGGGGTTGTATGATTAGATTTTGCACATATGAAGCAGACATAGCAAAAGTTCAAGACACACCACTTACTTTGTGAGCTACATAGTTGAAGCATATGTTATATGTTATATATGTTATATAAGTACAGGCCATTTACCATTTATGTTCCTCAGGCTAATATACAGTGATTGACACTATCAATGCTACGAGTGGGGCTCCCCTCTTGAAATACCGATTGTGTAACTTGGGAGTTGACGTACTGTCATTAGACAGGTCATGTGACCTGGAAGAAAGTATTGCTTTATGGCCAGCGGCTCTCATACAGCCAAGGAGCTCAGGCTTTTGCTCTAGTATTTTTCTGCTTGCTCAACTACTAGTCATGGCTGAGGCAAGGAAAAAGTTTAAACTTTCTGAGGAGGGTAAAAAGAGAAAGCATGAAGGGGATCGTGTGTGAGGAAAAACAGAGTCCATCTTGGAAAGGAGTTTGTTCGTTGGCGCAGGCTGTAAGAAGAAGCCGGATGTAAAACAGATTCTCTTTTCTGAACTTTATTATTAGATTGATAAGTTAACACTTTGCTCCTAGTATACAGTCAAATAGCTTTGAATTTTTATAGCTTTAGATTTTTTAATGCTTAGCAGAAGCAAAATACTATCAGAGAAAGCTAGCAGGCTACAAGCACAAGCTAACAACCGCACAGCCTAAATGTGTAAATCTCAGTCATTCCGTGCAAACCACCGATTCCCACTTTTCATAAAACAAAACCAGTAGAATATGGTAGTGATAATCTTTTATGCCCATGATACTGCTTTCATGGGCAAAGCAGCTGTTTTTACATGTGTAAAGCTAGCAAGCATGCCCAAAGTCAGTCCTCGAGAGCTGCTGTCCCGCAAGTTTTAGATTTATCCCTCCTTCAGCACAGCTGATTCTGATAATTGCAGTTCAGCAAAAGCCTGTTTGTCAGCAATCAGAGTCAGCTGTGTGAGAGCAGAGAAGACACGGGAGGCTGGCCGGCTGACTGTTTGTTTACTGCGACACTAGCACCCGTAATTGCCAAAAGTTACTCGGATTGCCTTTAAGTAACCCTTAAGATTACCGTATACTCACGACTATAAGGCGCACATAAACGTCTTTTTTTTCCCTCAAAATGTGCGGTGCGCCCTTTGGTGCGGTGCGCCCTATGTGTGTTGCAACTGCAACTTTTGAGACCACCTCATTGAGGAGATGATGAAAGAGTGGCTGAGGGAGGTGAATGTAAGGAGACCAGGTGGTTTTTTTTCCACTCATCACCACACCATCGCTGTTAATCTGACTCCATGCGTGCCCATCTCACAGATGATGTGAAAAACATGGTGAAACAAATTAATGCTGTGCTCGCTGTGAACCGGACGCAGCAGGTGCAGCAGAAGCAGCGAGTTTACATGCAAAGTCAACGGTTGACGAGCGTATAGACGCAGCAAAATGTCCCGCAGCACGTTTTGAGCAGCAGGCGCAGCGCGTCGGGAGTGCGCTGCCAACTCGCTGCTGCTGCTAGAGATGGAAAAATTTAAGTTTTGCTGCTGGAAAGCGCCGCATCAACGAATCAGAGAAGCTGATCTGGAAGCTGGCTGTGAGACGACACATCGCTCTGATGACATATGATATTAAAGCAAATGAAAGGGCTGGATGGATGAGGAGATGATGAAAGCGTGGCTGAGGCAGGTGTATGTGAGGAGACCAGGTGGTTTTTTCCACGCATCACCATCGCTTTTAATATGTGACTCCATGCATGCCCATCTCACAGCTGATGTGAAAAACATGGTGAAAAAAAAGAAACGCTGTGCTCGCCGTTATCTCGTGGGTCTGACAAAGGAACTTTCACCGCTTGACATCGGTGTGAACCGGCCGTTCAAAGTAAGCCTGCGAGCGGCGTGGGAGAGATGGATGACCGACGGTGACCACAGTTTCACGATAAGTGGAAGGCAGCGCCGGGCAAGTTACGCCACCATTTGCGGATGGATTGTTGATGCTTGGGCTAACCTGTCTGCTGGCTCTGTTGTTCAAGCTTTCGCAAAAGCAGGCATTATTTCTGAGGAGCCGCCCGGCACGGAAAGTGACTCTGACAGCGAAGAAGGGGAAATTGGCATGTCTGATTTAGCGCAGCTGTTCAATTCAGAAACAGAGGATGATGACTTTGATGGGTTTGAATAATACTTTGTAATTAATACATTAATAAAGCACAAACATACTCAGTTTTGCTCCCGCTCTATTTTTCTACCTGAAAACTTAATTCAACAGCAGCCTCTGGGCCGGGTCTCCTCCGGGTTCACCGCGGTGGCTGGCAGGTGTTTTTCATCTAAATAATCTAAATCTTGCAGCTATATTTGCTGTGATCAGTGGGAATAAAGTAGTAATATGTTTTTAAGTGAGAAAGTCCACCTGAAAACTTAATAATTGCAGTCAGTTCATCCAGATTATCTATTTCTGTCGGAGGCGCTCAGACCCTGACATACCAGCGGTGCACCGACAGTAGAAATCCCTTCATCAGCAGCCTCTAGGCTGGACAGCCGCCGGGTTCACCGCGGTGGCTGGCAGGTGTTTTTCATCTAAATAATTTAAACTGCAGGCACCAGGACACCGGTAATAAAAGCGAACATATTCCGTCGGCAGGTTTCAGGATTAAGTTAATTTAGGAGTGACCACAGCGCTGTGTCATCTGCGATGTGTCTGTCTCACGGCCAGCTCCCAGGTTTGATTAATACTTTGTAATAAATACATGAATAAAGCACAATCATACTCAGTTTTGGGCCCACTGTATTTTTAAATACGCAGAAGAGGTATTTAAAGGTAGTAGAGGACATGTACCTGTATATAAAAAATGCGCCCTATAGTCCGGTGCGCCTTATGTGTGTGTTAAATACAGAAATGGCACACATAACTGAGACTGCGCCTTTTAGTACGGTGCACCTTATGGTTGTGAAAATACGGTACTGTGCATATTCCAAATAAATTTATAAATATCAATAATTTTTTTAATTGAGGCAATTAAAATGTGTACTGTGGAAAAAAAAAAATTCTTCCATGTAGCCAAAAGGCTAATTAGAACAGGAATTATCATAACTTATATAGAGCATAGTGATTTAGCCATTACATGACGGAGACTAAACAGCCACAGTAGAAATTTTTGAAAGCGATTGTTCATCTTTTAAAAGAGATGCCAGTAGCCTGCCATTTTTTAAAACAAAATAAAAATGTATACATTTCTCTCTTTCAAACCTTGCTTTGCTATTGATTTAAAATATGTCACTTTTGGTTTTGTATGCTGTGTTTATGCTGTACATGATATGAATTTTGAGGGAATTCAGATTGATTTAGTTTGTTTCAGAAAAACAATTCAAGAAAAACTTACCAGTTGTTGACTTGGAGGAGAGTCAGATTTGTTTGACTGGCAATGTGTTTCTTTTCATCTTCTGTTGGATAGGGATGCTATATAAGGAAAAATAGAAAATCCATAAATACAAGGTATGACGCATTTATGTACAAAGATTATTTATCTACTCACCCCAATATGTTGAAACAGCCAAGAACGCATGACATTGGTGGCATGTTTGGGAAGAACGCCCCGTTTATTCTTTGTCGAGTTGTCCTCGTGATTAAAGAGGTTCAAATCCTGGTGAAACTGCAGCTGAAGCTAAGCACACAAGCACTTAAGAATTTCAACACATTCTCTATTTTCAAGAAAACAAAAAGAGTACTGAGAGAAACCAAAATACAATAAATATATTAACTGATTATTAACAGAAATATTTGTTATTGCAACTCTGTACTCTCTCCCAATGAAATTGTCCACTGAATTTGACAATTTCTTTAAGAAGCAGTTGGAGTTGGAGTCCGGTGACTATTATGGGTATAAAAGAGTCTTGCTTAGGGACACAGAATAGTACACTGTGTGCAGAATTATTAGGCAAGCTTTATTTTTGAAGATTATTTTTATTATTGGGCCACAATTGTGTTTTCAATCAACCCAAAAGACTCCTTAATATCAAAGTTTCATATTTTTGTTTTTGTTGTAGTCTCTTGTTATTCACACACAATAAATAGTGTTTTGTTTTTTTTTTTAGATTTGGTCATTGTATGAGGATGTCTGTGTGTGTAGGTAAATATTACTGTGCAGAATTTTTAGGCAACGTAATAAAAAACAAATATATATACCCATCTCACTTATTTATTTTCACCAGGTAAACCAATATAACAACTCAAAATTCAGAAATAAACATTTGTGACATTCAAAAAAAAAAAAAAAAAAAAAATCGGTGACCAATATATCCACCTTCACAATGAAGCTCAAAAGCCTTCCATCCATAGATTCTGTCAGTGTCTTGATCTGTTTGCGATCCACATTTCGTGCAGCAGCCACTACAGCCTCCAAGACACTGTTTAGGGAGGTGGACTATTTTCTCTCCCTGAAGATCCCGTAGATGGAGAATGCGGTTCAGATCAGGTGAACAAGGGGGCCATGGATTTTTTCTCCTTTTAGACTTTTTCTGGCCAACCATGCTGCGGTGTATTTTTATGTGTGTGGTGGAGCATTGTCCTGCAAGAATATCATGTTTTTTCTTGAATGATGGAAACTTCTTCTTGTACCACTGTTTGAAGGTGTCTTCCAGAAACTAGAAGTAGGTCTGGGAGTTGATCTTGACTCCATCAACCCAAAAAGGTCCTACAAGCTCATCATTGATGATACCAGCCCATACCACTACCCCACCTCCACCTTGCTGGTGTCTGAGTCGATAAGGAATTTGCTGCCCTATACTGATCCAGCCTTGTGCCCATCCATGCATCTGGCCCATCAAGATTCACTCTCATTTCATCAGACGAAAACACCTTGGAGAAATCCGTCTTCAGATATTTCTTGGCTCAATCTTGACGTTTTATCTTGTGTGTCTTGTTCAAAGGTGGCCTTTTTCGGATTTCCTTAACTTGGCCAGGTCCTTGAGTATTGAGCACCTTGTGCTTCTTGGCGCTCCAGACATGTTGCAGCTCTGAAATATGGCACAACTGGTGGCTAATTGCTTCCTGGCAGCTTCACGCTTGATCCTTCTCAATTCATGGGGAGTTATTTTGAGTCTTCTTTTTTCAACACGCTTCTTGCGATCCTGTTGGCTATTTGCCATGAACCGCTTGATTGTGCGATGATCCTGCTTCAAAAGCTTGCCGATTTCCAAACTGCTGCACCCCTCTGAAAGACATCTGACAATTTTTGACTTTTCAGAGTCTGTCAAATCTCTTTTCTGACCTATTTTGCCAAAGGAAAGGAAGTTGCCTAATAAATAATCACACCTTATATAGGGTGTTGATGTCATTACGCCATACCCCTTCTCATTACAGAGATGCACACCACCTGATTTACTTAATTAGTAGCTGGCTTTCAAGCCTATACAGCTTGGAGTATGACAACATGTATGAAACGGATGATGTGGTCGAAATACTCATTTGCCTAATAATTCTGCACACAGTGTAATCTGTGGGGATTCGAACCAGGGAACTTGCAACCTTCCAATGATGCAAGTGCGCTACTTTAAATCCAAGGCCTTCATTACTTCTTAGGTAATTAAAAACAAATAAAAAAATAAAATAAAGATTTTCCACATAACAATTTTATCTATGGGAGATAAATGTTATATTTAGACCTAAAAAAAAAAAAAAAAAAAAAAAAAAAAAAAAAAAAAAAATCTGCCACCCTTGGTAACAGAAACTGCCATTTAAAGTTTGCCAGGGATTCAATCTATTGTAGACAACTTTTTGTCTACTCCATTGCTTTAATAAAAAAAATTAAGGAAGATTATCCTGTTTGAAGAGAATATAAACTGATCGAAAATTTATGTATAAGTTCTCATCTAGCATAAGTTTGCAAGTGTGCTTACGTAGCTCTGACTTGCAGAAAGAAATCCATGTAGGATCTCAAGAAATTTAGGAAAAATATTATGTAAACTTCTTAATCATAAGGCTAACCAGCCAGATTCATCCTGTTTGGAAACAGTTTTATATAGCAGGTGGGACACACTTGGGCATACATAATCAATAAATCATTTTAATAAACAATGTACTTTACCCATTATAGCAGCTCAGGGTAACCAAAAAACAGACAAATTATTACAGCAATCCTTTTAGATTCAAAAAACAAATATGAAACAAGGTTCCTTATGATTTACAACGAAGCTTATCGCCTTTCCCTCTTTATGAAATAATCTTGAAATAAAAACCATGCTAAACTTTACAAGGCGGTATCTGAAAATCAACTTTTACTGGCCTCATCCAGTTATAAATCATTCCACAGTCTCTGTTGTAGTAGCATTGTTTTAATATTTGTATATAATGAAATCCTGTTCTGTTTAAAGAGCATGGTCAATCAGTTTGACATTATAGCCTGATGCTGCTTTGTGTTTTAATAACAGCTAGCATGGTTCAGTGGCAGTGACTGCAGCTCTGGTTATTTTACATTTAAAAGCATCTCTTGAATAATATCTCAAGGACTCTTCATAATCTGACCCAGTTAGTGTGGGACATAGTTTTATTTTGTAGGACACCGGGACAATGGTGAAAAATGCAGATCGGGACATTTCATTACAGTATATATTGTAGGATCCTTTCCATATAGTGAGAAAAATAAGTATTTGAACACCCTGCTATTTTGCAAGTTTTCCCACTTTGAAATCATGGAAGGGTGTGAAATTGTCATTGTAGGTGCATGTCCAGTGTGAGAGACATAACAAAAAATGTTTCCTAAAAAAAAATTCATAAAAATGTAAGGAATAGAAAGTACAGATACTTGTGTGAAAATTTTATTGTAAGTAGAAGTCAGAAGAAGAAACAAAAAAAGTAATGGAGTAAAGTAGAGATAGCTAAAAAGTGTGCTTCGTAACTTGACACCTCTGGATACGGCTGATAAAAAAGTATTTGAACACCTATCAGCTAAAATTCTGACCCTCAGAGACCTGTTAGTCTGCCTTCAAAATTTCCACCCTCGGACTGGGGCTCCATTCAAGATCTCACCTCGTGGGGTGTCAATGATCCTAAGAAAGGTGAGAAATCAGTCCACAACTACACCAGAGGAGCTGGTCAATGACCTGAAAGCTGGGACTACAGTTTCCAAGGTTACTGCTGGTAATACACTAAGATGTCATGGTTTGAAATCATGCATGGCACAGAAGGTTCCCCTTCTTAAACCAGCAGATGTCAAGGCCCGTCTGAAGTTTGCCAATGACCATTTGAATGATCCAAAGAAGTCATGGGAGAAAGTCATGTGGTCAAATGAGACCAAAATAGAACTTTTTGGTCATAATTCCACAAACCATGTTTGATGGAATAAGAATGAAGAGTACCATCCCAATAACCCCATCCCTACTGTAAAGCGTGGGGGTGGTAGCATCATGCTTTGGGGGTGTTTTTCTGCACATGGGACAGGGCGACAGCACCGTATTAAGGAGAGGATGACCACGGAAATGTACTGCGGGATTTTGGGAAACAACTTCTTTCCCTCAGTTAAAGCATTGAAGGCTTGGTCTTCCAACATGACAATGACCCGAAGCACACAGCCAGAATAACCAAGTTGTGGTTCCCGAAGAAGCATATCAAGGTTCGGCCATGGCCTAGCTTTTCTCCAGACCTAAACCCAATAGAGTATCATTGGAGGGAGCTCGAACTCTGTGTTTCTCAGTGACAGCTAAGAAACCTGACTGATCTAGAGAAGAAATTTTGGAGCAGTGGGCCAAAATCCCACCTGCAGTGTGTGCGAACCTTGTGAAAAACTAAAGCAAATGTTTGACCACTGTAATTGCAAACAAAGACTACTTTACCAAATATTAATATTGATTTTCTCAGGTCTTCAAATGCTTGTTTACAGCTTTATCATACAAATAAGTTCTTTAAAAACACTGTGATTTCTGGATTTTTTTTTTTATGTCTGTGTCTTAACGTCCGCCCTAAACCACTAAATCCCTAAATCCTTATATAGAGCAGGGACTATATAGTGGACTTTATAGTGAACTCAGTTAACTGACCATTCGGACAGATGATCACTACTTTTCGCTCCCCGTTGGTTATGTAACTCTGCCTCCCGGCGCGGTGCCTGCACCTTCTTTGTTATTTGTTGCCGCTGTCGTAGCGACAGCGGGCAGCTGTGACAACAAATCCCATGATGCTTTGCGAGGAGAGCTCTCCCCGCAAAGCATACTGGGATATATCTGCAAGTCTAGTGACCATTGGTGACCACTACTTTTCAAGGTGCATTGTGGGAAATCTTGAGTCAACTACTTTTTCATCCACTAAACATTCAGAAACTCATCTAAAATGGCATAACTCATCTAAAATGGCATAACCACTATATAGTCCCCTATATAGCGGTTGAGGTGGACTCTCGGACACAGCCTCTCTCTCACAGTGGACAGGACAATTTCAGACCCCTCCATGATTTCTAAGTGGGGGAACTTGCAAAATAGCAGGATGTTCAAATACTTTTCTTTTTCCTCACTGTACATAACCAAGAAATAAAAGAAAAATGTAAATAAAATAAATCGTGGATTTTAGTCCCAAACCTACTGATCTTTACAACATTTCTCTCCATCTGTTTTTTTCTCTCAGTACCATTTCTTATCTTTCTACTTTCAAATATACTACAAAGTAGCGGCCACAAAAACCTAAACCAATCTTTAAATAAGTAGTCCCAAAGTACTGAACAAAGCTGGACCTTTTTGAAAACTGATACCTATATCACATCAAATATCTTCCTTCCTTCCTTCCTTCCTTCCTTCCTTCCTTCCTTCCTTCCTTCCTTCCTTCCTTCCTTCCTTCCTTCCTTCCTTCCTTCCTTCCTTCCTTCCTTCCTTCCTTCCTTCCTTCCTTCCTTCCTTCCTTCCTTCCTTCCTTCCTTCCATCCATCCATCCATCCACCCATCCTTGACGCTTACCCCAAGTACTTGTATATTGTGTCCAGAAATCAAGGTTATTTAACATTGCCAGTCTAGTCTGTTTTGATATAAATTTTGAAGCCAAGCCGCAATGTAGTCATGTCCAAAATGAAGTTTGAATTTAGAGCTGGTTCATAGTAATACAACAAAGATGCTGTACCTGATTGTTTTGGACACGTATTGTCCCAGGGGAAAGGGCCTGGGTAACCACCTGTCCCTGAGGGGTGACGACTGTTACTGGTTGGTAAACTGTATTTCCTGAAAGAAACACAGACCCATATGCACTCAAAGTAACATGTTTATTACAGAAATCGCTGTGCTTCATATGGTTGTTTAAACTGACTATAAAAAAATTTGTCTGTAACTTTTTTAGATTAATCTAAAGCCTTCATTAACAATATTAAACCATAAAAACTCAAACATTACATTATATAAACAAACCTTAGAAGTAGCCTTTTTTTAATTATCTTAGTGAGCAACAATATATAAGGATCTAACATGTTTATGTTGCTTATGTATCAATGACTGGTCTGGACCATTGGCTTCCCTCTTTTCTACTCAAAGTTTTCTTTGAGTAGAAAAGAAAACTACTCAAAGTTCTCTACTCAGTTTTCTTTTTTAATTGCTAAAAATAATGTAGGCTTAATAATCATTATAAATCATTATAAAATAGTTTATTAGGTTAAGAGATTATAACTAAACACAGATACTAAAAATCAAAATACGTAATATTTTTATCTAAAAACAAAAATAACTACACAACAACAAAAGTTTGGGGTCACATTGAAATGTCCTTATTTTTGAAGGAAAATCACTGTACTTTTTAAAGAAGATAACTTTAAACTAGTCTTAACTGTAAAGAAATACACTATATATTGCTAATGCTAATGTGTTCTTGTGCAAGAACAAGAATAGACTGTCGAGTTTCAGATGAAAGTTCTCTTCTTCTGGCCATTTTAGCGTTTAATTTACCCCACAAATGTGATGCTCCAGAAACTCAATCTGCTCAAAGGGAGGTCAGTTTTGTAGCTTCTGTAACAAGCTAAACTGTTTTCAGATGTGTGAACATGATTGCACAAGGGTTTTCTAATCATCAATTAGCCTTCTGAGCCAATGAGCAAACACAATGTACCTTTAGAACACTGGAGTGGTAGTTGCTGGAAATGGGCCTCTATACACCTATGTAGATATTGCACCAAAAAACAGAAATTTGCAGCTAGAATAGTCATTTACCACATTAGCAATGTATAGAGTGCATTTCTTTATAGTTAAGACTAGTTGAAAGTTATCTCCATTGAAAAGTAAAGTGCTTTTCCTTCGAAAATAAGGACATTTCAATGTGAACCTCAACTTTTGAACGGTAGTGTATGTATAGTTCTCTCTATCTTGTTGATTTGAAATTATAGATCTCATACATTTTGTGTCTTAAAATAAATTCTAATATTGAAAAAATTAAATCATGTTTATATTATTAAAATATATTATCAAAACACTTTGATAATTAATAAGCTTCCTTATTGAGTTTACCATAAGGACTTAATATCTCTTTAACTTTTTAAAGCCTGTATTGTTTTATGGGGAATCGTCCCTTGCTTCTTATTAGAACTGCAAATAAGGACTATTTTGCTTATTAATTTTCAATTCAATTCAAATAAACATTGTTAATCCCAAAGGGAAATTAAATTTTGCAGTAACTCAGTTATTTTTTGATTACTATTTCAATAAATCTATTAATAATCAGATAACAAAAGGTGCGAAAGCGAAAACCACTTCGGGAGTTCTAGATAAAGCATATTTACAGATTAAAAACATTTTTCAATATGAATCCAAGAAAGTATAACGATACTTATATACCACAATCTGTTTCTTCTGTTGTATCTCTCCAAGTCCATCCAAGTTAGCTGTTGAAGGATGGTTGAATTGAATCTATAAAGCCCTTTGAGATGACGTGTTATGTGTTATATCTGTTATGAATTGGCACTAGGTAAATAAATTGAATTGTATTACTCATTTGGGGTTTTCTCATCTTATCTGCACATTTTGTTTATTTCCTTGTAGATCGGTTGTGAATTATTGTACTTCATTTGGCATACTCAGAACTAACTACAATAACCAAGAAAAAATTGTACCTGTGACTACTTGGGTGGGGTTGACAGCTGTAACAGTAACATTTCCTTGTTGCAAGGCTGAAGCTGGCACCACAATTTGACCCTGGGGACTGATGGTGCCCGAAATGGAACTTGGAGTCTGGAGATTAAAGCATTCACACATTGCATTATTTCCACTCTAATGACTCCTTTATTTGCAACTTCAAAAACATTCTTGGTCAAGATTTATGATTAAATTTGCAGCTACTTTTGTAGCCATATAAATTTGGAGTTTTGGTAACTACATACTTGAGTCTTGGTGGGGGAGAAGTTCTGTGCCTGGCCTTGTACAGGAGAGTAAGGGCTTCCAGGGTCTCCACTCAGAAGGGTCTCGCTATTCATCTTGGTCTTGAGGCAGGCTATATATCGGCTGCAGAAGTCCTTACACAGGTCGCTCACCTTCTCAAGCTCCAGCAAATGGATCCGTAGAACCTGAATGGCTTTCACCATCTTAACATAAAAAATGCAAAGAAAGTTCATAGAACAAACAGTGAATCATATTTATTTACTATGAATTTTGCAGAGGTAATCTCTTTGTTCAGTGGGCAAAGAAAAAAACAACTGTCAACTAAGAATGATTTTGAAAATACAAAACTGCCAATTATTTTTGATTTTTATGAAAATATTGCTTTGTTAATGTTTTGGCTCTGGTTGGAAAAGAAATGAAAGGTGCTAGATGTGCTCCAGCACTACCATCCATTTTTACTTCCGTAAACACAGCACGCTCGCTCCTTGTGACGTCACTGCATCATCAACTGCACATAAATGATGCTTAAGTTGCATGAATTCAGTTCACACAGGAGATCACATATAAGTCGCATATATTTGGAAATGTAAACAACCACGTAAAATATTTGACAAAAAAACCCCTCAAAAACTAAAATTGTACCATTAAGGCCTGCAGTGTGAACATAGCCTAAAAGTCAAGGACTTTGTGGGATTGTACAGTGGTGTATGATCAATCAGTTATACCAGACAGTTGTGAGTGGTTATTATCTCATGTAGAAAACAGCCTACCGTATTTTCACGACTATAAGGCACACTTAAACGTCTTTTTTTCCCCTCAAAATGTGCGGTGCGCCCTTTGGTGCGGTGCGCCTTATGTGTGTTGTAACTGCGACTTTTGAGACCACCTCATTGAGGAGATGATGAAAGAGTGGCTGAATGTAAGGAGACCCGGTGTTTTTTTTTCCACTCATCACCATCGCTGTTAATATGTGACTCCATGCGTGCCCATCTCACAGCTGATGTGAAAAACATGGGGAAAAAATTAACGCTGTGCTTGCTGTTCAACCACTCGACATCGGTGTGAACCGGACCCAGCAGGTGCAGCAGAAGCAGCGAGTTTACATGCAAGTATCTGACGCACCGCCAACGCGCTGCTGCTGCTCGAGATGGAAAAATTGAAGTTTTGCTGCTGGACGCGCCGCATCAACCAATCAGAGAAGCTGATCTGGGAGCTGACAGCGAGACAGACACAGCGCTCTGATGACATATGATATTAACACAAATGAAAAAGGCTGGATGAATGAGGAGATGATGAAAGGCAGGTGTATGTGAGGAGACCAGGTGCTTTTTTCCACGCATCACCATCGCTGCGTGCCCATCTCACAGCCGATGTGAAAAAAAAGGTGAATCAAATGAACGCTGTGCTCGCCGTTATCCCGGGGGGTCTGACAAAGGAACTTCAACCGCTCGACATCGGTGTGAAGCGGCCAATCAAAGTAAGGCTGCGAGCGGCGTGGGAGCGATGGATGACAGACGGAGACCACAGTTTCAGGATAAGTGGAAGGCAGCGCCGGGCAAGTTACGCCACCGTTTGCGGATGGATTGTAGATGGACTAACGTGTCTGCTGCCTCTGTTGTTCAAGCTTTCGCAAAAGCCAGCATTATTTCTGAGGAGCCGCGCTGCACGGAAAGTGACTGACAGCCTAGAAGGGGAAATTGGCATGTCTGATTTAGCGCAGCTGTTTAATTCAGAAACAGAGGATGATGACTTTGATGGGTTTGATTAATACTTTGTAATATATACATTAATAAAGCACAATCATACTCAGTTTTGCTCCCGCTCTATTTTTCTACCTGAAAGCTTAATTCAACAGCAGCCTCTGGGCGCGTCTCCTCCTCTTCAGCGTGGTGGCTGGCAGGTGTTTTTTCATCTAAATAATCTAAATCTTGCAGCTATATTTGCTGTGATCAGTGGGAATAAAGTAGTTTTAATATGTTTTTAAGTGAGAAAGGCCACCTGAAAACTTAATTGCAGTCAGTTCATCCAGATTATCTATTTCTGTCGGAGCCGCTCAGACCCCCACATACCAGCGGTGCACCGACAGCAGAAATCCATTCAACAGCAGCCTCACCGCGGCGGCTGGCAGGTGTTTTTCATCGAAATAATTTAAACTGCAGGCACCAGGATACCGGCAATAAAAGCGAACATATTCCGTCGGCAGGTTTTAGGATTTTAAGTTAATTTAGGAGTAATCACAGCGCACTGTCATCTGCAATGTGTCTGTCTCATGGCCAGCTCGCAGGTTTGATTAATACTTTGTAATAAATACATGAATAAAGCACAGTCATACTCAGTTTTGCCCCCGCTGTATTTTTAAATACGCAGTAGAGCTATTTAAAGGTAGTAGAGGACATGTACCTGTATATAAAAAATGCGCCCTATAGTCCGGTGCGCCTTATGTGTGTGTTAAATACAGAAATGTGACACATAACTGAGAGTGCGCCTTTTAGTACGGTGCGCCTTATGGTCGTGAAAATATGGTATACCTGAAAAAAAAGAGCTGTGTAGGAGGCTTACCAATAGGTGGAGAATAGCTAAACTCTACTATAGGGGTAACGCAAGACATTTTTGTGTCAGAGGTCATATTTTAAGGAGCACAGTAAGAAGACAGAATGTTATTTTACTACATCAGCAAGGTCTCTCCCTGCAATAAATATTTCCAAGCAGACTAGGGTAGAGTATGGAAGAGTTGCAAGCTAAACGCTATACCTCTGACAAGGAAAAGGCTAAGCTACAGGTAGTGCATAGTACCACCAGTGGTACACATATCATGCATGACTGCATGACTGCAGTAGAACACAGAATGGGCACGCAGAAAAATGGGAGAAGGTGCTGAGGACTTAGTCAACATTTGAAATCTTTGGCTGTAGGAAAAAAGCTGAATGGGCTGAAGATATGATGATGTGTAGAGTTGGGCATCGGGGATAGACAATCAATATGAACTGGTTCTAAACTTTCAATTTTCCCAGAATCTTTGACATTCTTACTTTTGACTCCTAGTCAACCAATCAGAAAAAGAATCTGACTAATAATGGCGATGAAAAATCTACAGCCGCATGTGTCCAACAATTTATTTGTGCAGCAGCATTTAAAATTTTGACCAGAAGGCTACCTGTGACACTTAGAATTGGATGGTGCACAGCCGAAAAATAATTGCCCCTCCATGTTGTTCTTATTCGGAACACTTGCAAAATGTGATATTTTTCCCCCCTTTCAGATTCCGTCCAGCTGTCATATCCTGGAGCCAGTGAAGCTGACAATGTGTCCTTGATGGCAGCCTATTTGTGCTCAGCGCCTGACACGAAAGGGGGTGATGGTCGCAAGACTGCAGCTGCCAAAAGTGTTGTTTAATAATGTGCATTCTGCAGTAGAAAGTATTTCACTTTAAAGGTGCCGTAGTTGATCTTTTGTGATGCATTTTTTACCATTTGGCTTGAAGATCTCCCCACAGCCGCATAGCAAGCAATGAATAGACGGTTTGGACGTGAAACAAAAAAAATTGTCCCCTTTACAGTGTGAAATAAATGAGTAATGTCCACCAATCAGAAAACACGGTCCATGGTCCACTACTGGTTCTTGACACGTCAATCTGTTTGCCCCCGTGCACATACCCAGACATATGAACGAATCGACCCCCCAATACTCATGCAGGACACCATGGTTGGAAGCTAGCCACTATGCTAAGTTCACACCTAAAGCAGCAAGAGCATCAAAAATGAGCATGCTGCCTCATTTTTGATGCTTTTACAAGTTTAGTTCTGAAGCATCTCTGCTGCTCTAGCTGCGCTGTGGAAAAAGTGGGTTTGATGCGCGTTGGGCTGAGCTACCCTATCCTTTCTTTGTAACAACGGCAGCTATATTTGCTGTGATCAGTGGGTAAAAAGTTGTTTAAATCTATTTTGAAGAGATAAAATCCTCCTCAAAACCTCGTCAGTGCACTCAGTTCATCCAGATTACCATCTTGCCTTCAAATATGTCAGAGCCACTAGGGGCTCCGACATAAGGTGTTTTTAATGTACGTAATCCAAACTGCAGACACCAGGTTAATAAAAGATAACATGTTTTGCCAGCAGATTTCGGCATTTTAAGTTTGATCAAAGCCCTCTGAATCATCAGTGCTGTATCTGTCTCCCTGCCAGCTCCCAGATTAGCAACGCGCTGCTCCTGCTGCCCAGACCCCTGGCAGGACCTTTTGCTGCGCCGTAATGTGCGTCAACAATTGCTTTGCATGTAAACTAACTGATTTTGCTGCCTCTGCTGCTTTAGGTGTGAATGATAGGATGTTGTGAGCTCATGTGACAAGCACTCGGTCTCGGCTTGTTTTGTTCTTAATCTCGGAAACATCCAAACACCTCGAAAGACAGCATGCGCGTTCATGTATTTTGAAGGCGTGGTTTCAAGGGGTGGTCTGAAGGGAGAGGCATGGTTGTGTATTTTCAAAAATATAGCTTGCTGGAACCGTTTTCTAAGATCTCCTACGGCACCTAATTCGCCTGTGCTATTGTGTAAGACTTGTATGTTACACTTGTGGTCACTTGCCTGTTAGCAAACTGCACAGCTGTGCAGTGTTAATTTCGTCAACCATGACGATGACGAAGATATTTCGTCAACGCCCCTTTTTCCCGTGACTATGACGAGACGATAACAAAAAAATAGATTCCAGAAAATAAAAATATGACGAAAACAAAAAATTATTTTCGTCAACGAGACTACGACAGACGAAATTTACGATCCATTGACGAATGGACATTAAGAAATGTAATGTTATTGTTTATGATTAATTTGTAATTGTTAATATAAGTGTTTCCTGAGCGTCATAGAAGATTACGCATTGTTACGCCATTTGTCCCTACACGGCGCCTGTCCCACAGTGCCTCGTGCCGCTCAGTCGGTAGTAGCAGAGGGCTTATACTCATAGCTCAACTTCGCAAGGTTTAATGTTTACAGTGTGATATATGTTAAAAAGAGAATCAGTGTGTGAAGTTTTATTCTGCACAGTGTTATATAAATAAAATAGAGAAAAAGAGAAGCAGTGTGTGGTGAAGTTTTATTCTGTACAGTGTGATATATATGTTTAAAAAAGCAGTCTGTGGAGAAGTTCTATTATTTACAGTGTTGACTAAAACTGGACTAAGACTAAAATTGATTTTCGTCATTTAGATTAAGACTAAAACTAAATCGGGAAGGCAATAACTAAATATGACTAAGACTAAAATTGATTTTTTTCATTGTGACTAAGACTAAGACTAAAGCTGACGAAATTAACACTGCAGCTGTGGAGATGGATGTTTTAGAATGTTGTTCAGAATACATTTTTTTTTGTTATACTTGTATTGTTGAGCTTTGAAAAAATAATGTAGTTGGAGAAAAATCAGGGCACAAAATTCACGGAGTATATTACTAACTGTAGTTATGCACTTCACCAGTAGGTGGTGACATGTTCACATGAAGCTTCATGAACTGTGGGGATCGTTGAAGCAATTTGGCCAAACGGTTCAAAGCATGATGAGGCTTCATCTTACCATTACTAACCTTAACCTCCGTTGTTGTTTCATGCATCTGTAAGCCCTGATTAGACTATCGGTTGTTGTATTCACTTCCGAAAGGCAGACTCTGTGAAGTAAATTCACCAAAGGCTGCCTTCTTTGTCTGACTATCCGCAAACAACAAAATATAACAATTATAACCAAACTTCCTGAATATTACGGGTGCCGCCATGTTGATTTGCTTTTTTACCTCTAGAGAGCAGTAGTACCGTAGATCGACACTGGGAACCATGTTAGCGTGATTTGTAAACGGTCGTAAGGAACGAAGCTCGGCACGGTTAACTGATCCAAGCTTGGTTCAAGCTTGACACGAACTGGTTTTCAGAGGGTAGTTTAAATGGGGCTTTTGTGATCTAGCAACACTCCAAGCTCCCAGCAGTACTTTAAAAGGAGGAGGTTTACTTTAGTTATTTTATTTCCTACAATGGCCCAGTGTTCTAATGAACCAAAAGGAGACTATCCGCGACACAAAAACCTTTTTTGTCCCAAGTTTATTTTTGATTATTTACTCACACCATTGAGAAAATAGATCACATGTGCATTGCACTGTGCAACCTTCGAAACTCTGTGCAGTCTTAACTGATTGGATCCAAGTTAAAGGTTTGTTTAGGAATAATGACATGCTGAATGCTCAGAAATACAGGATGATATTGATTCCACAATGCCTTACCATCACGGAGGTATATAATTGCACCCAAATTATTTAGCAGAATGACCCAAACTCTTAACACTCAGCCATGGTCATTAAGAACGTTATACCTTCAAGAGGAACAATAGTCCACAAAGTAATAACAAGACCCCCACAGAGCGCCAATCTGAACACTATTAAGTTTTTTTTTGGTACACAGAAGGATTTAGGTAAGCCTATACATAAGCCTATATATAAGAAAATCTGTGGTTAGCTGTCAGAGATGTGGAGATGGAGTCTTTAAAAACTGCAAGTGCACCTTAATTAATCTAGAAATCCATGCTTTTTGAAGGATGAAAGATGGTCACATGAAATGCTGATTTGATTTAGATTTCTTATACCGTACATGTATAAAAAAAAATACAAATCTTACCTTACTGTAAACTCTCCATCATGTTATGTATTTTACTTACAATGCAACAAATATCTGGAGTTCACTATATAATATGACTTTCTGTCAAAACCATTTAATATTTAAGAAATATGAAACTGACCAAGTTATCAAGTTCAGGATCCTCGCTGAAGAAGGGTTTACCCTCTTTTTCTTGGCTGCGCACGAAGTTCTCAATGTCCACATCAAAGCTGGCAGAGGTGATGCATTCAGAGCTGAGTGTGGACTGCTCACATTTCTCAAAAAGCAGAGCCAACAAGGGGAACAGGGGGTGTCTGTGGACACAGGTACAATGACAAAGCACAGTCTTATTGTAGCTTAAGAGAAAAAAAGGAACAAAAAAATAAACATTTACAATAGTACAAATAATTACACTCTTTGATGTATTACAGGGACATTTACTCTGGGTACAACAGAAATAGGCAGCAATAAACGATGTGGATGACCCCTGAGAGGCGATACTTCCACTGAAAAAAGTCTCACTACCGATATATAGATGCCTTGTCTGCATCCATGGGTGTCTGTGGTTCAGTGGGTACTGGGTTGGACACTTCAACCAATGTCCCTTCAAACTTCACCTCAGAGTCACAGTCTAGTTTTACAACGCTTTGCATCTGTAATAATAAAGCAAAATGAAATGTTAAAGAGAGGAACCAGAGAAAGGAAGAGAAAAAACAACTGACATTTTATAAAAAACAGCCAGAGATCAATACTGAGCCTCAATCTCAATAAGAGATACTGAGAAAGTGTCATTTTCACACACCTAATTTCTTTGTGTGTTTTTCATACAACCTCACATTCTGAATATATGTATTTGGAATTTTAAGTTTAGTTGACCTCCCAGCAGGTCAACGACCTCGAGCCTAACAAGAAGTTTACAAATGAACGGTTCAGATATATTCAAATCACTTTAAAATAATATTCATCTGACAGAGGTGAAGCTACTTCATACAAATGAATAGACGTAAAAGGAAAAATCTATGGAGACCTTGAGCTGTAAAGTTAATGCAAAAGTTAACTTCTAATATAGTCTTTTCATAGCATCAAGTGTTTTTTGGTTATGTTATTTATTTTTTTACAATATGCTGAATTTAAAAAAAAAGAAGCATATCATGATATTTAAATAGATTATTCTCAAAAAGGTTTTAGAAACAAAATGAATAAACACAAAACTATGATGTTTCTCACACATGATTAACCGAAAGCAATTTTAAATATTTTGACAAATATGAATCTACTAATGATTCGTGTTTGAAGAATGGAAGATCGGATCTCTGCCAGGGAAAGAGAGGTGGAGGAGAGGCTTAGGGTACCCGGGAGGACATTGGTACTACAATGTGGAATTAAAACTGAAGTACTATATTTTTTTCCAGTTAAAAACCGATTATGCCAATAGCCTAATCCTGTAAAATGTCCTCAATAATAATAATAATAATAAAAATCAGGATTTTTATGATTCAAAACTTGGGATATGTTTTTGCCACATCGCCCACCCCTACATCACTATAAGCTTGTTTTAACCTTAGGATTTCTAATATAGGCCCAGACTGATGACAAACAGACTTTTCAAACCTGAAAGAGTTGAAGTTCACTGCTATAGATGACGTGGCAAAAAAACTGGTGGAGAAATACCGGAAGCTGGTCAATAACCAGAAGATTTTGATTGTTGTTAGCGCTGGTGTCTAAACTGGTGAACGAATTCTACTACTTGAGTTACTTCATACACTTATTAATAAAATTGGAGCAACTAACTTGCAAAATTAAACAAACTCCTTAGAAGGTTGCTGGATGGTTCAATGTTAATGGTCTGGTCAACTGCTTTTCCAATGGTAATGTTTAAATATGGTATTTAAAGTCGTAGGGAAGCAGCTGTTCCAACGGTTACAGTTCTGAATTCTTGGAAAAGTGTAAAGTTGTGCCTTACTTTCCAAGAGTGAAGAAAGTGAATGTGATTGGTAGTTTATCAAGAGGGTGGAATTGTTGTGGCATAACTTTTGCAAGCAATTTTGATTGTGGCCTGTGTCTTGGAAGCATTTTGCTAACCAGTTAGCAACTTAGTGCTAGTAGGTTCCCAATGGGAATTTACATTGGGACCAAGTAGCACTAAATTGGTGAATTAGAAACGACAGTCGAGGAACACTACGGACAGCGGAAACATGCAAGAGGAGGAGAGTTTTGTGTTGCAGGCCGTGGATGAGTCTCCTCCGTCATCCAATTTTTTTATTTAGAGGAGGAAAGCGGGGATGAAGAAGTTGTAGAAGAGGACGCCAGGGTGGCAGAAGCTTCATTTGGTGTAGAAGGCTTACAGCCGTACATGTTTGAGCCCTTGCCTCGCAAAGTTGCCAGTTCTGTTAGCTCTAAGCCTAACACTGGGACGGAACTCAATGATTTAGTAAATGATCCTTATATTTTATTTAAACCGCTGCGTATATTAGCTGCGACATATGAATGAGATGCTATGACTGAAATAAGTTGATTGACAGATGACCGTTGATATATGATTGGCCGAATTTAGGTGTACAAGCTGACATAACTAACTGGCCTGCATAAAATAACGGGGGGGTGAAGACTGATTTTCAGAAATGATTTTTTTTTTTTATTATACAAATTTTCAAACTTAGAGTACATGTTAATGCCAGAATGACTTGAAATTTCAATATGACTTCCCTATGACTTTGAACTCTTGTACCCACCTGCTGCTCCCCTTTTGGGTACTTGTCTATGGAAACCGTCTGAGCTGCCATCACGTTCACTGCCAGCACTGGGGCATTATAGAAACCAGGTATAGATGGCCAACCTACACAACACATGAGCTCAGTTAAACTGCTGACTTAATCAAAACAAAAATTGTGGAAATAAGTACAATATCCTGGTGAAGATTCTCAGTCATCCAGGTCATAGTCATACCAAAAAATAAAATAAGAAGGATATTACAATACTGTATTTTGTTTCTCAGTAGCCTGGGTATACCAGAGAAAATGAGACCCCAATCTTTATGAAGTAATATAGCGTTTTCAGATAGCAACAGTTTTTTAAACTGCGGATTAAAAAAACGACCAATTTCAACTAAAATAAAAAGCTTTATTAATTCTCCTGATCACCAGGGCAAGCTATAATACAATGAAATGTTAAGAAGGGACGTAAAGAACTGTTTATCTTCACTTTTCAGCTGGTACTACAAAGCTGTGTAGTTAGCCTATGCGCGCAGCTGTTAACACACCCACCATGAATTAGCCTTTAGCCAGTGTTAGCTATAGCCATGTTGTGCACACAGTGGATTGAAAAAAAAATAATATTTGCAACCGTTTGAACAGACTATAATTTATAGAGGCCCCCAACATGTAAAACCAAAGTTGCTAAGTTTCAATAAAACCGCTTTTCGGCTTGCCTTCAATGATAGCGCCGTTAGCCTTAGCTTGTATAACAAATCTGATGCAGCACAACATTCTGATCCGGCTAATTCTAAATATGGAGAGGCAGTTGCAGATGACTATGTATTGAATAGTTTTATCAAGAACCCAACTTCGAAAGTGCTTATCACCGAATTGAAGCACGTCACGTTATTAGGAAAGTAAAAGAATGCTAACGTTGCTAAGCAGCAATAAGTCCGCTGCGGATTGATTCGATGTAAGTAATAACAACCGTTTCACTTAGGCTTTAATTTAGAAAAAGAAGTGCTTGATAGCTGTCTATTGTTAACCAATACGGAAGACGTTGGTAGAACACAACGGTATCTTAGTTTAAGCTCAAATCCGTCCCGTCAGTCAATCTATCATGCGAGGACAGCTGCTTTCTCTCCGTCTTTTCTACCCTCCCCTCTGCGCTAACACTACCGGGCCTCATCTGGAACCCCGGCCCTTTGCTTAAGCTCAGTCCTACTCTGCCCCCAAAACGCCGACATATTACTTGACCCCCTCCCTCATATACATATATATATTTCCAACTGCTCTGTCGCTTCGGCATCCTTTCATATACCACTCTCCACTGTTTATGCCTCGGTTCACGCTCCATGCCCTGGAGCATTTTAGCGTGCGGCCTAGATTGTTTGATTGATAGGGAACGAAAAAAAAGAGGGATTTTGAGTGACAGCTTACCTGAGTGCCAATCTTCGTCACACTGACAAGCGGTTGCAGCAATCGGGACCCGCAGTTGTCGTGTTACGTCATCGCGCAAGGGTACGTTCTTGAACCAGGCTCATGTATATGTATAAAGTGGGCGGAGACATGACGTCCTGTCGCCATGAGTCCTGGTTGGCTTCATTTAAACAAGGGTAGTTCTGCTCGACGTTTTCCCTTCCCTTCTTATGTAAAACAGGGTTGGTTTATTTATAATCAGTTAATGAACACCATGTGGAAGTAGGTTAATTCTGGTTTCTGAATGGTAAACATTAGCACGGTCCGAAAAGCTGTACTAAACAAAGTCTCGTTTTGTATACACTGTGTATACAAAATGATAATAACAGTTGTCTAAGTCTAACAGAAAAGGGCCTTGTGCTTTACCATGCTCTGTGATACAATGAAAATTCAGTCTTTTGTCTATCATATCATATACCAGTTATTTACACAAAAAAGCAGCACCTGCATTAGCCCAAAAAAAAACACCCTTCATTTCTTACACATGTTCTTTAATTACATCACAATTTGACAACTGTTTTTTCTACAGATGATGCAGTGATATCTTTACACATATATGAAGTGTGGCAACATTAAGTCCACCATGGACATCATCTGGCCCTCTAGTGTGTGGGTGAGGGTTTGCCCGAGGAGGGCTGAGGGAGACGATACTTGGCCATTTCCACATCCAGATCTGCAAATGTATAGCTGGTATAGTCGTGGTGCTGATAGTTTTTGTAAGTGCTGTTGTCAAAGGGCTCCTCGGGCTCTGGGGGTGCTGATGCTGGCTCTAGAAGAAGAAAAAAAGAGCCTTATGAAGAATAATACCACAATACTTCCATTTCACACATCCCCAAACAGCAAAACTGTTGCTGTACACTAATAAGCTGGGAAACAGCCAAGAGAATGTATGAGAGGATTTGAGAAGCACCAGTTTCACGTTCATATATTTCAACAGAGAAGCTCCTTGAATCATGTTTTCCCTATAGTTTTGCTTCTGTGAAGAAATGCAAATGAAAGGCCTTAAAGTATAACTCACACAAAGTAAAAACATAACCCAACACCTACATTTTCAAAAATGCCACAAAAGTGGTCGGCGCTAAGCAACCCTGAGGGGCACAGCTAATCAGTGAGCAGTGGGGGTTATTAGGGCTTTGGTCAGGACAAGAGAATGGAACAGCTAGATATATCCTTGAAAATGGAGAAATTATATTTAGCCACAGTTTAACCACTTCAAAAATTCAAAATAAGGAGCACTACAATTTTTTTGCATTTGCAATTAGTGGCTCCATTTTGGTTGATCAAAGGTTTTTCATGCTAATAATGAAATGTGCAGAGCGGTTAGGTTTCATCCCATTGAAATAAGCAGTGTTTTTATGTAGTGTTTATTGTACTGGCAGCTGGAGAGTTGTCATAAAAAAGATACAGTTTTAAGCCATTTAGTTAAATAATGATACCAATTGTAAAGAACAAAAAATAAATAAAACAAAATTTATATTTATATTACACTTCACATACAGCTTATGTGCTTTAAAACATAAAATTTCAAAAAAGGTTAAACATAAAAGATGAAATATATCAAATACCAAAATATTATAAAAATGCCACAATATTTAGTTCTTTTACGTTTTTTTTGTTTTATTTGTATATAGAATGTCTGCTGGCACACTGCATTAAATTATGTTGGCCTGCAAATACTTTTAATTAATAAATTTTTTTTTTTTTACAATTAATATTCTATCATTTATTTGCGCCTGTCAAAATGTAACAAATGCACAGAATCTTTATCTATCTTGTGATTGTAACAATCCCTAGTTTTTAAGCACAGCCACAGCAGGCATTTGTGAAACAGTCTTTCAAAGGTGCTAAATAAGACACGTTTCCCCGAGTTCCGGGTTTGGGGGGGAAAAAATCAGCCCCTTTGCCTTCAGTGCAACATGCTCTCCAGAGGTTAAACTGAGGCCCCGTCCACACGAAGACAAACCCTGGCCTAAACGCACAGATTTTTCACCAAACCAGCCTCTCATCCACACGAAGCCGGCGTTTCGGGGATCTGTAAACGATCTTTTTTTTTTATTCAGCCTTCAGAGTGGGAAGATTTCGAAACGCCGTTTTCGCGTTTCCATCTTTACGCTCTAACCGCATTTTTTTTTTTTTTTTACACGCATGCGTCATAGCGTCGCCTCTAAACACGCATGCGCGAAACAGTATCACAACAACAATGGCGCCGTTGCTGCTAATGCCACTCACCCTGCTGTCGGGCTTACAACAGAATCTTCTTCTTCTGGAATATCTCCAGGAAGAACAGAGCAATATCGACGACATAGTTCAGCACCTGAATTTGACTTAACCACGAAAATGGACCCGCAGGGCAACCATGTATAAATATTAGTGCGCATGCCCAACATTTCGTCGCTTATTTTTGCTTTGGCACCACAGCGCCACTTACAGGCCTGGCATACATTTTGCAGCGTTTTCATGCATTCGTGTGGACGCTCACATTTATTTTACGTCTCCGTCTTTACGGCAAACGTTTTGGAAAATATCAGCGTTTCGTGTACGTTTTGACTTCGTGTGGACGGGGCCTTAGACAATTTTTATTGTCATTTTGTATCCACAGCATGTTTACAAAACAAAATTTCCTTTTGTACAGCTTTCATATGAAATTAACAACAGGTGCACTAGAGGGGCAACAACGAGACAACCATCAAAATAGGAATGGTTTTAGAGGGGGCCACTAGGTTGATCCATTTCATTTCCATCAAATGATGTGGCATCCTTTTGTTCCTAACACATTACCCAGTCCATATCAGTATAAATCATCAATCATAATTTTTTTGAGCAGTGTATGTGGTGCAAATATGCAGTATTTTTGGTTTGGTGTTGTCAGTGTGAGTCTGTGACATGATTGAGAATTTTCTCAACATTAAGCAGTCTGATGGCGGTTCAGAAGAAACTGTTTCGGAATCTGCTGGACCGGCATCAAATGCTGCAAAGCCTCTTCCCAGAGGGCAGCAGGGAGAACTGTTCATGGTGGCGGTGTCAGGGGTCTTTAATGATGTTACAGGCTCCGGACACGCAGCGCTGGAATGAAATGTTTATAGAGGTAAAAGGAGCCCCAATAATTTTCTCTGCTGTTCTTGCCACTTTTCTCATTTTCTTCCAGCCTGCGGCGCTGCAGCCTCCACACCATACAGTGAGACAGCTGGTCAGAACGCTTTCTATGGTGCTTCTGTAGAAGGTCGTGAGGATGGGTGGGACAGTTGGGCTCCCATCATCCTCCACATGAAGGACATGTGCTTTTGTGCCCTTTTGACCACGCTCCACTGCTCATGAACATCTCAGCAGTAGAGGTGGTCAACAGTACCAAATTCCTAGGAATGCACATCAAAGACAACCTCACCTGAAGTATAAACATGACCCCACTGGTTAAAAGGGCACAAAAGCGCACATACTTCCTGCAGAGGATGAGGAGAGCCCACCTGCCCCCAGCCATCATATTGACCTTCTGCAGAAGCATCATATAGAGTGTTCCGACCAGCTGTCTACTATGTGGCGTGGACGCTGCAATGCCGCAGACTGGAAGAAAGTGAGAAGAGTGGTGAGGAAAGCAGAGAAGATAATCAGGGCTCCTTTCCCATCAATAAAAGACATTTCATCCCAGTGCTGCGTGTCCCGAGCCCGTAACATCATCAATGACCCCTCACACCCCAAACATGGACTGTTCTCCCTGCTGCCCTCTGGGAAGGGGCTTTGCAGCATTCGATGTAGGTCCAGCAGATTCCGAAATAGCTTCTTCCCCACAACCATTAGACTGCTGAATGTTGAATAAAAAGAAGGGTTAAAAAGCGCTAAATGTTGGAACACTGTAAATCATATCTCAGTCTTATGTTTACATTTTATCACTGCTGCACTTTAAGAAATGGAAATGTCTTGAGAGCTGTACTGAACAAAATTTCGTTTGGAATACACCCTGTGTGTACAAAATGACAATAAAGTTTGTCTAAGTCTAAGATGGGGGATCGATGCCTTGTTTGTAGCATTCTAAAAGGCATTTTTTGATTGTCAAGAGAATTGTCGAGAGCTGCAACAGGCCGCTGGCGCCAGGCACCACCATGATGGAACTGACATTCCATTCAATAAACACCATCAACCTACTACCAGTAGATGGAGATACAAAAAAGGTTTAAAGAGGAGTGGAAAAGATTCAAATTAGTCACAGATGTGCTTTTCCAGACAATAGAATTAACACTATTACTTCTACCTCATGAGATACAGGTCCTTCCCAAAATACTAGCATTTTGTGATAAAGTTCATTATTTTCCATAATGTAATGGTAAAACTTGAACATTGATATATCTTAGATTCATTGCACACTAACTGAAATAATTCAGGTCTTTTATTGTCTTAATATGGATGATTTTGGCATACAGCTCATGAAAACCCAAAATTCCTTTCTCACAAAATGTGCATATTTCATCCGTCCAATAAAAGAAATGTGTTCTAAACACAGAAGCCTTCAAATAATTATGTACAATTATGCACTCAATACTTGGCCGGGAATCCTTTTGCAGAAATGATTGCTTCACTGCAGCGTGGCATGGAGGCAATCAGCCTGTGGCACTGCTGAGGTGTTATGAAGGCCCAGGATGCTTCGATAGCGGCCTTTAGCTCATCCAGAGTGTTGGGTTTTGCGTCTCTCAACTTTCTCTTCACAATATCCCACAGATTCTCTATGGGGTTAAGGTCGGTCAGTAAACCATTTACCAGTGGTTTTGGCACT